GATCTCACGGGGAAAGAGATAGATAATTTTTGCCTTAATGAGTAATAATTCTTGCCTCATGACTTAGCCTTCTATCTGAAAAGTATCTAATGGCCTCATAAAATGAGACAGCGCCTCTCTGGAGGTTTAAGCATGATAGGTAGCGCTTTCGATAAAAGGAATGCGAAAAATCAGCTGTACATCCTCGAGGGATCCGACTCTCTTAGTTCAGTCTAGTCGCACGGTTCAGTCTTATCGAATCAAATGTGTCCTTCAGTATTCTCCTGATTGCGGTCTGGATGTGCTTACAACGGAGCAGTATTCAGTCTATTATTGTGGGAAGTTTTAATATTTTTACTTGTTTTACAACATATTTTCGTGCACGCGTTGAAGAAGTGTGCCTAACTGCCATAAATTTTGCCAATCATCTAAATATGCAAATGCATTTAATTATGCGACTATTTTTAATATAATATTCTAACATATATTGCTTTTAAACAGGGATATAATTTACGAATACTTAAATGATTGGATAAAGGTCTGTCTTGGGGTCGTCAATAAAACTCAAGTTCTTAACGGAGATCATTTTAAATTTCAGGAAGTAGCATTTGAGACGATCGCAACTGATGCGAATATAAAAATAGTTTCTCCTTTTAAGATATGAATGCTTAATACAAGAATTCCAATAATAGATAACAGATTGCCGATTAAACGGTTGATAGTTTCTGCACATTATTAAAATTGAGGAAAATCTTTATTGAGTTAGAAGATCTTATTGCATTTATAAGGAAGGTGTTGTATCGTTGAAGAGCCAATGTCTAGAAGTTATCAGAGACCCAATGAAGCAAGTCTTTATAGGTAAATATATATTATGAAGAGAAAAATAAGTCTTACATTTAATATTAACGATATGCTACGAGTTCAGAAGGTTACAACGACGATATTTTCTATGAAGATAGTTAAACTTAAGAATAAAGTGAGATAAAATGCAAATATTCTTCTTCATATATATGTGTGTAAAAATCAATTTAAAAAAATTAAAATTTGTGCGACTGTTTGTCTCTAAATCACGTAAATATTGTTAAAGAGAACAATTCGAAATTTTGCACATGGGTATCCACTGGTCTGGAACATACATAGTATAGATAATTAAGAATTCCGGGAAACAGCTCTCTTTCTGAGGGTTGTCTTAAAACTCGTGTGGCATCAATAACATTAGAAACTTCTTTGAATTTTATTAAGAGAAGCAAATTAAGTGTGTCTTTCACGATGAGCAGTTATATTGTTCTTGTCATTTGTCTCTACACATTTGTCTCATTCGTCTTGCAGTGTTCAACACACATTAGAAAATTGTTATTACCATTATTATTAGAATTCCATAGTATTTTTAATGCATCCGAAAAATAGATATAAAACACATGTTGGTGCTGTACAATTATTTCAGGAGTATTGGCTGACTTAAATATTTCTTGAATGGCTAATCGTTGACCATGGTTGTAGTTTATAAAATTAATCTAGTAAATTACAATTTCAAACTATGGTAGATATTTTTTCCTCGATATATTTAGCAAAAGTGCATGCAAGCTTAAATTTTTAAATAATGTCTGAAGGCGAAAACATGTCAGCGGGAAAATGTTTTCAATAGTCGAATGAGCAGGAAAAAAAATCCATCCTCATGCAATCAAAACTGCTCGAAATATCATTAATTAGAATAATTCTAGAGCTACCATGGATCTACGATTAACCTGTTGAAGAAATATTTAGCTGAGATATTTTTTATAAACCCTATGAAGTTTTCTGCGAAGACACGCAACTTACGTTTAAGATATGGCGCCTTCTGCTGTCCATAACAGTACATTGGAACTATGTGCGTAGACAGGCACGCGTTATTGGAGCAAGTTTGTTTCCAAAATAGGATGGATGGATGGATGTGGATAGTGTTTCAGGAGCTTTTTTTAATATTTTAATTCCTGTTTAAGCTTAAATATCAGACTTTAGGTATAAGGTATTTCTCCCGCATTCTTAGCATGCCTTCGTGGTGTAGTGGTAAGCACACTCGGCGCGTATTCTCGAGAGGTGCGTGGATCGAGTCCCCGCAAGGACATTGCTCATTTTTCATTTCTTCCGCTTTCAAAATATACCCAATACACAGAAAGCAGTTAGAATATAACTTAAAGAACAGAAGCAAAACTATAAAAAAAGTCCAAACATCCTGTGTCTTTCTAGTTTCCCCTTCAAATGAGTAATTTTCTAAATGAATTCCTGATAGATGGGTATAAATATTTTGTCAGGAGAAAATCCATACGAAGGGGCACATTTGATCATTAACGTAGATTAATAGCTGTAGTTCGAAGTCCAATCAGCCTTGAAGGAGGTTCATGCCATCCGCAATCAGACAATATTGGGTTACAAGTTTAGTTTCGCTGAAAATACGATATCTATGCGAACGTAGCCAGGAAACACATCTAGTTTAAAATATACACTCGAATTGGATAAGTGCGATAAAGTAAGCTCTATCTGTGCTGGAAACTTTCTGGGATAATACGCAGGTTTAGTTTCTATTGACTGCTTTTATTTATGGTGTATAACAAAAGTTTGAAATGATTATTAGTAGTAATCACATAAAAAATAACTGAAGAAAACAATCCTTCCTCAACAGAGTACATGTTCAAGGTATAAATTACGTCTTAGATTGCGTTTTAACCATATTCTACCTCGTTTCCGCATACCTTCGTGGTGTAACTGAAAACACGCTCAACGTGTATTTCGGACATGTGGAATTCGAATCAAGGCGAGGGCACTGCGGATTTCTTGTTTTTCTGACAAAGAAAAGTTAAAAACACCCTACAAATGGCGCTGCAACTACAAATTTGGTTTACGATAATTCGTCACCACCAGGATTTGGTGGTGGTGGTCCGCTAATCCCCAGTCACACATTACAAGGGGGCGCATGTAAGGTATTTTCTCTCTCATTTAGGCATGTCTTCGTGGTGTGACTGGAAGATACTCTACACGCATTTGGGAGATCAGGAGTTCGAATCCCGGCGAGGTCATTGCTAACTTTTCACGTTCCTGCTTGAACCTAATGAATGAACCTATAACTTCATGAATATACAATATATTATTTGAATTTCACAGCGAAATCTAATTCTTCTTTCTGAATTGACGCATGACTGAGCACAAATAATACCAAAATAACAAAACAGCTAGGAGGAACATAGAGCGAAATTAAATTTGTGATTTCTAATACGAATAAAAATGACTGATGAATACAGCTCACTTGAAATCTAGAAAAGCTATAAGGTTGCTATTATTTTGAATTAACCAGTTGTTTATAATTTCAGCCTTTAGTATAACTTTCCGTTTCCTCACCGGAAATGTAAATGAGTTAGAGAGTATTTAACCTGAGGTTTTGGATTGCAAGACAAAACGTGTTTCTGTCGCTCAAGGCCATGTTACTTAGTTTTGTCAGCTCTGATAGACTTGTAATTATCCGGCTTTAAGTTGTAGCTGCCGTCAATTTATTTTTTTGCTGTTTTTGAATTTTTGAGACAACTTGAGTTAAATTGTGTAGTCTTAACTACTAGCGTACATTTAAATTTTGGATTTGACTGTTGCTTTAAGTTGCTCGTCGCTTAGTGGTGAGTTATTATGTGAGCATTAGACTTGCATTTTATGTTCAAGTACGGATTTAAATGAAAATGTTTATATTAAAATTTTCAAGACTGTGTGGTCCATTTCAGACACAAGATATTTTAGAAGTTTAATACTACTTTAATGCTCCAAAAGAAAGTCAAACTCTGTAATGCTATAAATTCACAAAAAAAATCATCCGAATGTGGAACATTTCCAGCTCAGCTTCTACCAAGGTTATATTTAGTAGTCCAATTTAGTTGAATTTTAGAATTCTTATTTAGCCGAGATTTTTTAAAGATTCTGTACCTTAATATGCATATGCATATGCATTGAAATTAATGTAATGTTCTTAAGTCGAATATATTACGGTTTATTGTATTTTGAATAATGATGCTCAATATGACGTGTTTTCTGTTCTGCAAGAAGACATTCTGGAAATCAATGCTCATTCAAGACGGTGTACTTTCTTTCACTAGTGAACTCCAACCGAGCTGCTCCTTAGTACAGTTTTCAACTGTGACCTACAACTGTCAGTCTTCAACTCCTGATACTTTTCATCTAAAGGTAGATTTATTATAGAAGATGCATAATATAACTTCTCAACTTAATTTGAATACTGAGTAAGCATTAGCCAGAATCCTTAAGATGAGCTCATATGTACCGTATTTAATTGTAGAAAATTACTCCAGAGCTGATTTGATTTAAAAAGGAATATATTTGGTGAGTAACCTTTTAAAATAAAATGACTCAGATTTACCTTACAGTTAAAAAATAAAACACCTAAACATAAACTAGTCGATTGCCGACCTGTCTTTCTGGGAACTGATTCAAGGACATGGAGTCCACCGAAAACATCGCGGATGTAAACGTCGCGGAGACGTTTTTAGAAATACTGACATGTCATTATGGTAAAGAAAGTAGTACAATCTTTCGTTTTAAACATCTCATTTTTGTTTATTTTATTTATTTGTTGATTGGTTTTGCCTTAGCTGAGTCGGCGTTTTCATTAGCTAGGAATATTTTGTTTCCATTGAGAGAAATCAAGCACTTAATTTCTAAGTAAATGAATGGGTATTACAATGTCTTCTTTATTTAAATCTGATTTTCTTGTAGTCTATCAGGCTCCTGTAGATGATACGTTCTAGTTTAATAGGAATATCCATCTACTTTTCTGTACGATTTTAAAGAAGCTTATGTTATAAAACATGAGTTATAATTCAGTCTCTGAATATTTGCAACTTGTTAAGGCTTTATAACGTTTATTTCTTAAGGGAATTAAAAAATAGTTCGCTTAATAATTTTATCCCACTTACGTATTTCATTTATTATTTACTGTTACAGTTTCAGAAACATTTTCATCAGTTAACATTTTTTTATCATTTCAGATGCGGATAGGTATTCACACAGGTGTGATTCTAGCAGGAGTTGTGGGAACGAAAATGCCAAGATACTGCCTCTTTGGTAATCATGTAACATTGGCAAATAAGTTCGAATCTGGCAGCGTTGCCATGCGTATTAATGTTAGCCCTACTACATTTGAGTAAGTATTTTATAGAACTTTATATTTCAATTATGTGTTTATTTAAATGCACATCCCATGTTCCCTTTCTTGCCATTTACGTTCCGTTTGTATGTTCGTTTCAAGTGGGAAGCATTTCCGACAATATGCTTTCCTTTTCCATTTGAGGTCTATATTACAGGATATTTTCAATATGTTTCGAGAATATAAATTACCAGCACTGAGGTAGTGACTTCTTTAACAATTCAGCTTTAAGACGACCTTTTGGTAAAGGTTTGCTGTCTGCTGCATAAAGTCTGCTTTAATCCTATTTTAATATCGCTCTTCTCTTCGTCTGTTTTAGTTTTATTAATTTATTTGATATTGTATGGCTTCGTCGATTCTGTCCTTTTTTCTCACATCATCATCATAGTGGAACCGACTTCTTTCAGGGCCGTTTTAGTCATGAAGAAAAAATTCACTGTAAAAGTGTTAGGCTATAGTATCATGATCCTTCCACTGTTCACTGTTGAAGAAGGAGAAGACATCGTTCTTTATTATAGATTAATCAGTTTTGCTTCACTTCCGCCACAATCCCTGAGAGAACGCCCTACAGGGAGCATAGCCTTCATTTGCATATTCTCCACTGAGTCACTGATATGCTCCAAAATAAATGTCATATCCTTTCTGACCTGAGTTATATTGTTAGGTAGCGTAGCATACTTTCGCTCCGTGTTAGGATAGCACATTCATTATTTTGTAGATTTTCTGCATTAAGAGTTGTTTCATAATGAAATATATGCTTAATGCTTGCGGATTGTTGTTGGAATATTATATGGAGTCCTTCTGTTATTTGGCAGCTTATTAAGTAGTGCTGTGATGTACCTCATTCGCCACATATGCAGAAGTCAGTATCTAAAATACAAATCTGTAGAAATACACTGTGAAAGATCCGTATTTGCTGATGTAACATGCTAACTAGAGAGCTTCAATGTATATTTACTTATGATAGGTGGTAATGTATACGTCTGTTTTCTTCTAGGATATTCCATTTTCTTGCCATAGGTCTTTGCTGTTGAGATAAGACTGTGGTAGTTGAATATCTCGGATATCAAAGTTGCTGTTATTGGCAGCTTCGACTGCGACCTTATCGGCAGGTTCAGTGTTCGTGTCGCAAGGTATTTTCTCCAAGAGAAGTTGATGTGACGTCGCTGCAGGCTTCAGATTGATTTTCTATTATTTTTGGTAAAGTATGCGAATTGTTGATGATGGCGTATAGCGTGGTTTTCTGCCGGTGAAAATGCGTGGATGATGTATGTTTTCAGCAGCGATATATATGAGTGCTTTGGCTACCTCTGTTTGAAAAATACTGTTGTGAGCGCAGAGGTGACATTGTCCAAACGCGAGTCTAACTCTTTTGTTCACGCTTAAGCCATCATGGTGTAGAGTTGGCAGAATATTGGATTCAGTGATATGTGCCACTCGAATCTTCTATTTTTATGGCTTGACCTTTTATTGCAGGATTTGGGGTTCTGCACATTTGTTGAAGGTCAGGAAAGAGACCGTTGATGCCAAACGTTGTTGTGAAACCTAGCTTTGTGATTTGGTGGTGTAGAGCTTATCATCTTTCTGTATGCAAAAGGACATTTGCAGCGGTCATCGTTATAAGCCTATACCTTCGCAATCATTAATGTAAAAAAAAACTTTGGTGCTAAAAGAAAGATGTATGCTTGCATAAGCTGCACCCATATTGACTACAACATATGTGATTATTTCTTCTATGACTGTAGTATATGATAATGCTTGGATAATATGTGTTGAGATGTTAGTTGGCACCTTGAAATTGCTTCAGTTTTGGGGCTATTGCAACAGTACGGGTTTGGAGCTAGGTAATGTGTAGTATTCATGTGAGTTACGCCGAGCCTAACTATTTAAATTCTTTTAATATTTTTATGTTCTTTTCATAATTTAATTCTTGGTCTGCTATGCAAAATGTTGTTTTTGGATATAATGAGTGCTGAGGATTTAGAGTCTGATATAATTAATTTGAAGGCGGTGAAGACATTATTGAAGAACTGTCAGCAGATTGTGCTACGCATCCACTTGTACATCCACGGATAATTAGTGATGCGTGCTCGGTATAAGCAACAAACGGGGTATGTTCAGGCCATTCTTGCAGTAAAATGTTTGTTAAATGTAACGCTCTGTAATATTGGTGCTGCGCATGAATGAGCCTTGAAGGTAGCCTCTGGTTATTCTCTTAATATACTGCCGCCATTATGTACGATCAATAGATTTCAATCGGCTGAGTAATTTACTATGGTGGAATAAAAATTTTGAGGATAAATGGCGGTTTTTCAATGCTTGAGTTTCAGCCGGTCACCATTGTGTGTCAGAAGCATTTTTAAGATCAAAGCAGGTTACTCCTAAATAGTATTAATTGTATTTTTTAAATACAATGATATATTTTATTACTGCTAGGGCACGCATTGCCGATCTGCCATACTCATATGGGATGTGGAGAATTTTCTTGCTAAGGATGTGCTTGAGGCATTAATGATTAATGCCTAAGGAAATTGAATGTTTTAGGGAAAAGTTTCATTTGTAGAAATTTATTGAAGAGATTATAAAATAATACGTGGATTGACTTTATGCTATTCTGATGATTTTGTTGTGCGCAATTGGTCATGTCTAGTTATGAGTTGAGAGCAGATATGTTGGTTTCTAAACATTCCCTAGGGCAATTCTGAGTGGAACGCGGTATACTCGTATTTCCGAGGTTTTGTGCGGAATTTCTTCCAGCGGTTTGGCCCAACAGCGACCGAACGGTAAAGTCCTTGAACACTGGTAGTTCGATTAAACTTCGAATTACAGCGCAGGGCTGTCAAATGGGAGGTTTTGCGGTTTGTTCCATGTGCGGTAGATACGAGCCAATTTCTGTTTAAATGTCCTCTACGAAGACATCCTTCTCAACAGCCACCTAACATCGAGTTTCTGTAATCAATTAACCTAACCTTTTCCATTTTATTTTGTCGGCTTGAATCACGCGCTTGTAAACCGTTTTCTCTTTCCTGTATTTCTGAAGGACTTCTAGCTGTAAATGTTATATTCGATGTCTGTCCGTTATGCTTTAAATTATCATCGCAAAACTCAGTATTTTTTGTGTTGCTTGAGAAATTTTTAATCTGATCTTGAAACTCCATGTAACATTTTGGCTTGTTCTCGTGGAAGTATTTCCGGACATGTGTCGTGCATATTGTTCAGAAGGCTAGTTGATAATTGTTCCAAACAATCTTTTGGTAATGCATATTTACAGCTCCGTGTCTGAGGTCGTAAACTGTGATACAGAGACGGATTATATTCTAAATTGATTTGGTCAGTATTAAATATAAAATTATTAATGGACTTAAATCCTAATAGTATATAAAATTTCTTAAAAGTTGAAACAAATATTTATTTGCTATTGGTAAAAAGCAGGTACTTTCGTGAAACGTTTGATGTTCTTTGCCACTGACATTAGGTTATTAGTTATCGGCATTCTGCAGGACTTAATGTGATTCATTTGAAAGTTGTAATTTACCCATTTTCAATATTTGTTTTGATTTTGGTTTTGATGGAGGAAGTTATTTTCTGAAGAATTTTTATGCATGTAGTGCAGCAAAATGATTCTTTCCTCACAAGAACCAAATCAGTGTTAGAAGAATTTATGTCTCCGGAGTATGATGGATGATAGGGCATGTCTCCTGGCTAGCAAACCCTCCGCAGGTTTCGCTACATATACAGCAACTGCAAGATTGCGCAGAAAATTCCCCCTTCGGAACGCTAGGTCGTCAATTAAGTTCTCCAAATTATCAAGAAGATCATTGACAGGTCAGGCACAAGTGCGGAATAAGCTATTTTACTACCATGTCACTATGAGTTATCTACTTTTGATCTGTTTTAGGAACTTCTTTTAGAGCTGCTCATTATACAATTATGAAGTACCAAAGTGAATTGAACTGTGAACCGTCCAAACACTTCCACTGAAGGCTGTGGAACATCCCACCTTCTCTTTCAAGACAGTAATGTGAACTTTACCGGACCCACTTCTAATCTATTTATTGCAGCAATAATATTTTATAATAATTCAACGAACTTCTTATTGACACCCTAACTTTGAATTGTGATTAGCGTTAGGATAACGCTATCGTAGTTATGCTTGAGAACCAATATAACTTTCACACTGGGTGAGCACTAATGAACTTCTTATTTTTGTTGTGTTTCGTAATGATGCTACTTGTTTAATTGGAATTTTATTTGCAAATTGATTGATACATTTATAATTTTTTTAATACAACAGGTATTAATAGTATGTGTTTTGTTAAACAGTTTGAAACATTGATGGTTAGATGCTTTCAACCCAAGCAGGTCTTCATAAATATTCAAGTATTACTTGCCTTTGTATAAAAGCAAAAGAAGAAAAAGTAATTTGATATTAGGACTTCGGAAGAAGCAATAAATTAGTTTGTCAACTGTCATAGAAATTTCAAGCCCTAGGTATTCCTAAGCTGATTTTTAAATGATTTATTAAGATCCTGCAATATCAAAAAAGAGAAAAAAGGCATTTTATCTTCGTCCGAAGTAACCTATTTCAAATAGTCACGGTTTTACATTACCTTTCCAATGGGAATTACCTTCCCACGAATATACGTTTATGATTAAACAAGTACGGCATCTTAACGGAGGAGCTCATTGACAGTACCTTAATTAACTATTAGCTGGAGCACATGGATGTGTACGTTCTGACAAAAATTCTAAGGAGAGCTGTCTGGACTAAAATTCGAAACTTCACTAGTATAAATTTCTTTTTAGTAATTCAAAACATTTTGGTTTTATTTTTGGTTTTGAATTTTATTTTTACTTTTACCCTTGCCTATATGGAGGACGAAACACATATTGAGTCATTGGAGAGTTCGGTTTGGAGGCAATTTCCCCTTGGTAAGTCTGTCTCCTGCCTGCTCAACAATTATTAATTTATGCAATTTAATTTTTTGGAATGATAT